GACCCGCCGGCCCCGCCCCACGCAGCCACCGGCCCCCAGGGACACAGGCGTCTGGCCTCCCATTTTGGAGGGCCGCCAGGGCCAGCGGGCAGGCCTGAACTTGGCAGTCCACACCTGCCATGGCAACAACCGTGCCATTGGTCGCTGGGCCCAAGAGCTCAACCAATCACAGCTCGGGGCGGTTGTTGCTAGGCGACAATGATGCAGCGGGCAGAGCCGAGCCCAAACAAAGGGCGGGAGCGGGACCCCAGAACCCCTTCCCAGGACAACTCTCTCGGGCTATGCCCTTCCAGGAATCCAACTATGAATAGTTAGGCATGGCCTGCACCTGCCCGCCGCCCCACTCCTCTCCTCCCTGCGCCTCCTAAGTCTCCCGGCGACAGGGGGAGGGCGGAGCGCGAGCCGCGCCCCATCTGTAGCCACTTCGTTACCTGAGAACGCAGGCAAGGGGACTCAAACTGCTCGGGAAGCCCGAGCTCAGGCCTGCCCACTGGCTGAAGATATCCGGTGGACGCAGCGAAGCAGGGCCCTGATTACCCAGTAATGCAACCAGCAAAATGGCAACCACAACAAACCGGCCCCCCCTCCGCACAGGCTTCGGGCTCCGCCCCCACCCCATCCGCTCCCTCACGTGACTCACGGCAATACACTGCGCCTGCTCAGCGGAGCTTACCAGCACACATGCGCAGTGAGCTCCGCCCAAGCGCCAAAATCCAGGCTAGGGTGGCGCAAGAGGCAGCTAAGAAAGGAGCATGCGCTGTGTGATCGGCTGAGACCGTCCACCCCCCACAACCACCACCACGCAAGTTAACTAAGGGCGCATTCCGCCCTGTTGTCAATGGAAGTCGCCAAGCAATCAGCAGCAGACCCAGACGGGAAGGACGGATTAGTCTTTTAATAGAAAAACACACGTGTAACAGTAGCAACACAATCTCTAGCAATCCAGATGAAGAGCCAGCCTTCAGTTCTTCACCTTGGGGGGCGGCCTGTGAGAGGAAGATGAGAGGCATCAGAGCTTGTCACCACTTTAGGGGCACTCCTAACAAGTATTGAACCGTGTGGCTCTGGGGTGCAGGGGCCAGAGACATCTGTCCTGGTGGAATACTGGGCCCCCTGCTCACCTGTACACACCCACGACCACAGCGTGGTCTCTTTCATATGGCTCTAAAGTCAACTGCTCCTGGGGCTTCATGTTTTCCTGTTGCATTTTTTTCACTTCAGAGGCAAATACTGCCTCAGCAGATGCGGTGGAGTCAATGCAGTTAGCCTACAGAGGAGAGAGGATTTGAAGTCTGCAGCAAGGCTTTGAGCTATTTACCCTTTTCTGTGCTCTTTAAATTAGAAGTACTTGTTTTTACTGGAAATGGTGAAACTCAAGTTTTGGAAATTTTCAATTTGGTCTGGATTTGGAACAGTTAGCCTTCAACAGAGTCCTATCATCTAAAAGCCAGTGTTTAAATTTTACACTCAGGGCTTTTTCCCCCCTTCTGCTTCCCCTTTAACAATAATAATGCAGCTGAGAATATGAAAATAAATGTACCAAAAGGCTAACAAAATGGTGAATCTGGTTGAAAGGCACATGGCAGAATTCTCTGTATTTCAAAGTAAAATGTTTTTTAAAGTGCAACTAGCATTTATCTAGTATTTATTCTACACCAGGCTGTTCTAAATACTTCACATAGACACTAAAAAATTGGACTAATATTTCTATTTTACACATATAGTATTTTCATTTTACAAGCACACAGATTAAGGAACTTGTTCAAAGTTACACAGTGAGTTGGAATCCAAGCTCAAATTGTCAGACTCAGAGATCATGCACTTGACCACTACGTTCTATTGCCTCTTTAAACCCAAAGATGCTAGTTTTGCAGACATTACTCATCATGTGATATTTGACTCGGGCCAGGGAATGGCTTGTAGGGAGCTGTGTGGGAATAAAGGCTGAGAATAGACTGAATGGATTAGGGGGGATGAAGGCTCCCTTGTTTTGACTGGCTACTTGGCAGTTGATGATAGAGAAAATACTTAGACTCCTCCAAGACCCGCACCTTAATGGAAATCACAAAGTGTCCTCCATTACGTAGGAAGGTGTGGGCATTCAGGGCTACAATCCGGGTCTGGTCTGGCTGGGCCACATCGGCAAAGATCACATCCACCATTGCTAGGGAGAAGGAAGTGGCAGTTAAAAGCTGGGTCTGCTGATCTTCCCAGCTCCTCCCAGGGGGCCTGTAGACTCCTGGCGGTCTTCCCTGCTTCCAGTCTCACTTCCCCCCTCTGATGCCCCTCCCTCCACGGTGCCCCCAAGATGGGTCCAAAACCCAGTCACATCATTCATGCCTCTTGTAACCCATGGTTGCCACCTACTCTGTGGCCAGCCCTGGGCCGGGCATGGGGGACAGAGAGACGAGTCATACCCGGACCCTGCCCTCGAGGGGGGGGGGGGGGGGGGGGGGGGGGAGAACAGACACGTCATCAAAAAGGCAAATAAAGGTGAGCACTTACAGGCAAGAGCATTTGCAGGATTATCAGATGAAAACAAGTTGCAGGACAAGGGGTATGGTATAGGTCAGTGATGGCGAACCTATGACACGCGTGTCAGAGGTGACTCGCGAACTCATTTTTTTGGTTGATTTTTCTTTGTTAAATGGCATTTAAATATATAAAATAAATATCAAAAATATAAGTGTTTTACTATCGTTGCAAATATCAAAAAATTTCTATATGTGACACAGCACCAGGGTTAAGTTAGGGTTTTTCAAAATGCTGGCACGCCGAGCTCAAAAGGTTCGCCATCACTGGTATAGGTGCATGGAAAAAAACTCACAGAAACCAGCAGAATGCAAAATAATATTTTTAAGGCAGTATGACTAAAAAAACCCAAAAACTTAAAAATATGGGAAGATGTTGTAATGAAACTAACTTTTTAAAGTTGGAAAAAGCAGACATCAAATTGTTCGTATGTTACCTCAGAGGGTGATTTTATAAAGAATTCCATTTTTACATCTTGCTTCTTAATATTTTTTAAAAAATCAAAATAATTGATATTTACAATGGGCTCCTCTGGGCCAGGCCACATTCAGTTTGTGCTTCTGGGTTATGATCTCAACAGACCATGAGGAGGACCTCTGAAGGAGGCTTTTTGTTGTTGTTGTTGTTCTTACTCCTCACCCAAGGATATTTTTTCCATTGATTTTTTTTTTTTTGAGAGTGGGGGAGGGGGGAGGGGGAGGGGTGAGAGAGAAACATTGATTGGTTGCCTCCCACACCTGCCTGGGGATTGAAACTGCAACCCAAGTATGTGCCCTTGATTGGGAATTGAACCCATGACCTTTCAGTGTGTGTGCCGATGCTATAACCACTGAGAAACACCAGCTAGAGCTGAAGGAGGCTTTTCTACATAAGCCAGGGGCAGTGTAAAAGTACCATATTTTAGAGGGAGGAAGGAAGTATGGGGCAGCCTAGGCCTAGGGAGAGGGGCACGAGATAAGAGAGGAGGCTGGCATCTGAAGGTGCCAGAGACCCTGAAGCAGATCCACCATCTTCTCAACCTCACCTGGCTCCCCCCACCCTTTTTATTCCTGCAGACTCAAGAGGCCTGCTCATCCATTCCAATTCCATCCAAATTAGGGCCCTGGCCTCTTCCAGGAAACCTGGAGTGGCCTATCCTACCCGACCTGGGCCAACCCCTGATCCCTCACCAATGAGCATGCGGTATTTGTGCGGGTGCCGAGCATCTTCAATGACAGGAATAATGTTAGTCCTCTTCTTGGCCAAGTTAATGAGGTCACGGCCAGAGCGGTGGGAAAACTCAACTGCATAGACCAGACCATCCTAAATAAATCAAATAACAACAATGATACTAGTTCTCATGTATGGAGCACCTACTTTGGGCCCATACACTGCATGCAGCATATCTTCAAATCTCCAAATCTAAACCCTACCACTTAACAATTATTATTATTATGTCCATTTTACAGATGAATAAACTGAGGTCCAGAGACATGAAGTTGCTGGCCGAGGTTTATTCACTCCCGCTTTGCCTGATGTGAAAACCCAAGCCCCCAGTACAGGCTTAAAACTAGGAAGCTAGCACACAGAGATGAAGTCATAACAGCTAAGAATATCTGCAATAGACCAGGCATTGCTCTAAGCACTTTACAGGAA